AAAAAAAAAAAAAATTACTCAATTAACTGACAAAATAGCATACTGATGGTAGAATAATTATATCAAGGATAGGCTGGGAGTGGTGGCTCATGCCTATAAATCCCAGCACTCGGTTCCAAGTTGAGGTGGGTGGATAGCTTGAGTTTAGGAGTTGGAGACCAGCCTGAACAACAGTGAGATCCCGTCTCTACTAAAAATAGAAAAAAACTAGCTGGGCATCACGGCAGCTGCAGTCTCAGCTACTTGGGAGACTATGACAAGAGGGCAGTCTGAACCCAAGAGATTAAGGTTACTCTGAGTTACACAGTAACTCCACATGATAATGATAATGATAATGCCCTGGCAAATCTCACTCTGAGACCATCTGTCTCACCATTGCATGAGGATAGTATAGCTATCACCTTTAGTAAATTTATCTTTTTTGTGTTTTTTTTTTGGCCAACACTGGGTTTGAACCCACCACCTCTGGCATATGGAGCCAGTGCCCTACTCCTTTGAGCCACAGGCACTGCCCCATATATCCTACTCTCAAGCTATACAAACTGATTTTCTGAGACAGACTCTCACTCTGTGGCCCTGGGTAGAATGCCGTGTTGTCATCATAGCTCACAGTAACCTCATTATCTTGGGCTCAGGCGATCCTCTTGCCTAAGCCTCCCAAGTAGCTGGGACTATAGATCCCCACCACAACGCCCAGCTACTTTTTTTCGTATTTTAGTAGAGATGAGATTTTGGTCTTGCTCAGGCTGGTCTCCAACTCCTGAGCTCAAGTAATCCACCTGCCTTGACGACCTCCTAGAGTGCTGGGATTACAAACATGAGCCACCATGCCCAGCCCACACTGAAGTATTTTAAGGTAAAGGGTCACAATGTACTCTTAAATGTTAAATGGTTTAAGCTGTGTGTGTAGTGAGAGAACACATGAACAAACATGCTAAAGCAAACGATGGGCAAATCTGGGTAAAGGAAATAGGAATGTTCTTCGTACTATTTTTATTCCTGTAGTTCTTCTGTGAGTTTTAAGTTATTTCCAAATAAAAAGTTAAAAAAAATTGAACTCTATTTCCACACCCCTTTTTTTCTCAGCACTAGTAAGATGAGAACTGTTCCTTCACCCCACCTGCAATGTGCTGGGTTATCTGCTCCTTCTCATTATCTTCCAGCTCTTCCCAGCCTTCCAGCTCTGTGAGGTCCTCGATTTTTTTTGTGGTGGCTCGGGCCCGCTCCAGTTTCTCAAACATGCATTTTATGTGGTACCATTCTTTCATATCACCCCCAGACTCTGAGAAGGGATTGGGCACCACTTTACCAATTCTGCAAACACCCTTCACAATCTTTTCCTTGCATTTTTTGCAGCCAGCTGTGCCACGCTTGGCATAATCGACACAGAACCGTTGCTCAGCCATCTCATAGGGGCCACTGCAGAGTCCCACATGCGACCCTGGCAAGAAAACAAGGCAGGTGGCTCGCGGTCTTAGATGTGCTCCCTGGAATGACAGAACAGGCTTTCTTTTTTGGAGGAGGTAGTGTCCAGGAAGCAGATCTGTTTCTGACCACCGGCTGTATTGTCTTACATCAGGCCAGTAGTGTTGGTCTCGGAACAGGGATGGCTCTTTTCGGCTGAGTGCACGCAGAGTTTGAGGGAAGATTTTAAAAACCAAAGTCATACAGCTGTATGAAAAGGTAAGAGACAAAAAAAGTGAGACATAAATGAGGAGCTAGGCTCCCAACTTCCCAAATGCCAGAATCCTATACAGTGTATGCTGACTAATCAAATTACTTCCCAAAGTATTAAAGATTTATTGCCTACAGAATGGAGAAGGTTCCGATATAAAAATATCCAGTTTGCAAAAGGGTGTTCAATTATCCAAGGTACACATGTATTTCTATCTAGTAAATCACAATGAAGAGAATCCAAATAACATAAAAGTTTTTTATACTGGTATA